GTGTATGCGCAGGTGTGTGCGCACACGCATTCATCATATACACATACAGACGTGCATGCACAGGTGTGCGCACAGAGACATTCATCATATACACACACTCCAAGTCCAAACATGCATGACACACACTCCAAGTCCAAACATGCATGCGCAGCTGTGCGCACACAGACATTCATCATATACACGCGCTCCAAGTCAACGCGTGCATGCGCAGGTGTGCGCACAGAAATATTCATCATAAACACATACTCCAAGTAGATGCGTGTATGAACAGGTATGCGCAGAGAGACATCCATCATATACACACACTCTAAGTCCACGCATGCATGCGCAGATGTGCGCACAGAGATATTCATCATATACATACACTCCAAGTCGACGAGTGCCGCACAGAGACATTCATCATCTACACACACTCCAAGGCGACGCGTGCATGTGCAGGTGTGCGCACAGAGACTTTCACTATATGTACACACACTCCAAATCGACGCTCATGCGCAGGTGTGCGCACAGAGACAATCATCATATACACACTCCAAGTCGACGCGTGCCAATCATCATATACACACTCCAAATCGACGCGTGCATGCGCAGGTGTGCGCACAGAGACATTGATCATAAACACACACTCCAAGTCGACGCGTTCATGCGCAGGTGTGCGCGCAGAGAATCGTCATATACACACTCCAAGTCGACGCGTGCATGCGCAGGTCATGATATATACACACACTCCAAATCCAAACGTGCATACAGGTGTGCGCACAGGGACACTCATCATATACACACACTCCAAGTCGCCACGTGTATGCGCAGGTGTGCGAACAGAGACATTTATCATATGTACATACTCCAAGTCCAAACGTGCATGTGCAGGTCTGCGCACAGAGACCGTGCATGTGCAGGTGTGCGCACAGAGACACCTCATCATCATATACCCGCACTCCAAGTCCAAACGTGTGTGCGCAGGTGTGCACACAGAGACACTCATCATCATATACCCACACTCCAAGTCACACTCATCATCATATACCCACACTCCAAGTCCAAACGTGTGTGCGCAGGTGTGCACACAGAGACACTCATCATCATATACCCACACTCCAAGTCCAAACGTGTATGCGCAGGTGTGCACACAGAGACACTCATCATATATACACGCACTCCAAATCCAAACGTGCATGCGCAGTTGGTTGAAAACCTATCCTTAAATTATGGTCGCCGAAAAAAGGAGCATTGAATCCAATTGCTGAATTATTCACAGTCTTAAGAATTCATCTTCCGCTAAATAACTGCTCATATCAGGCGGAATTCCTACGGTGACACTGAAATCATTAAGCGTCATCGTAGCATAGTGTATCTTATTATTTCCATCCATTACGACGAACTTGTTAGTGCCTGTGTCATTTACATATTGCTCATCTTCAATGTGCCAAACGTCTTTTCACCACTGAGTTCTCTCAGGTTCGATGAATGTTTGCAGAAGAATCTGGAGTGGACAGCGGAACACGCTGCCTGAGACACGGCTTTTCAAGCTTTCATTCTGCTATGGTTAACACGATAAGAACACTTTCTTAGTATTCTCCCAAAAGCATTGTATTTTCGAGGTCCAATGGAGCTTCGCAGAGTCTAGAATGGAGCGCTGAGCAGGCTACGCCAGATTCGCTTTTTCGAGCTTTCATTCTGCTATGGTGAACACGGTAAAGAGAGGCGCAGTGGAGGTGCCGGTGATGGGGCCTTCCAAGGCGACCACTGCCATATCTTGCGCAGGCGCAGGGGGCGGTGATGGTGGATTACATACAGCACGTCTGATGACAGATAAATAGTTGATGACAGATGAATAGTCGATGAAGAACTCTGTATTCTTGTACGCATACATGATGAATGCAGATGGCCTCGCTTGACAAGAGGAGTTCGTGCGTATGAGGGAGAGAGGGACACAAGTACGTACAGCACGTCCGATGAAAGATAGATAGTCGATGATGAGAAACTCTGTATTTGCGTACGCATATATGATGAATGCCGAGGGCCTCGCTGTAGAGAACTTGCACGGTATCAATTGTCTCTGCATCATCACACTCCAGCGAGGGCCTCGCTTGGTAAAAGGAGGTCCGTATGCATGGAGGGAGGGAGGGAGGGAGGGGGAAAGGGACACAGGTATATGTATACAGCTCGTCTGATGACAGATAGATAGTCGATCATGAAGAACTCTGTATTTGTGTACGCATACATGATAAATGCAGAGGTCCTAGCTTGATAAAAGGAGGTCCGTACGAGGAGAGGGAGGAGGGAACAGAGGTACATACAGCATGTCTGATGACAGATAGATAGTCGATGATGAAGAAATCTGTATGTGTACGCATACGTGATCAATGCAGAGGGCCTCGCTTGACAAGAGGGAGGGAGGAGTCACAGGGACATACAGCACGTCTGATGACAGATAGATAGTTGATGACAATAAATCCTGGATTGTGTCCGCGTGGATGTTGAATGTAGATGGCCTCGCTTGACAAGACGAGGTCCGTGCGCATAGAGGAAGGGAGGCAGACATACACACACAGAGAAACCGAAGAGAGGGAGACTCATGTGAGGTAGCGAGTGGAGTCATACATTAAGAAGTCATGCACATCAGGCAGAAAGAAAGAACAGGAGAAATGTACACTAATAAAATCTACCATATCGGCACTATCACAAAAGCAACCGAGTTGGCCTCGGACTAGCACAAGAAGCACAGCAAAGTCCGAGGCCTCCGTCCATTCTTCCCCTCCAACCTCCTCCCCTCCCATGACTGACAATCAGCCCATGACACTAAAAAGAACTACCCCATAGAGCATACTGGAAAAGCAGAAAGATAATCTATGGTCCCTCCTACATCGGAAACTCGCTATCTTCACCAGACGCCTCCTCCGTCATGTCATCGGACAGCTCATCACCCCAATCCATTTCGACTTCCAATACGACTGTCGACCCCTCCGCATCTTTAGTCACGACCCGATAAGACGACACCTGAGGGGCCTCGTAGAACTCATGGAACTCCGCTTCTTCATCACAGTGCAACTCAACACTCCCAAGATCCCCCTGAACTGATGGTGGAATGGGCCACAAGCTCCCTCGACGAGCTCTGACATATACACAGAGAGGGGCAGACACGACATTCAACGTGCCAAGCGAGCAGTCCATCTCAGCCATCGATAGATCCGTACCTTCCTCGCCACATTTGCTCGACATCCCCTGCACGGCGGGGTGCAGGGGGGGGGGGGGGGGGGGGGGGGG